GAAAACCTACTGGAGGGTCCACTGTCAATTGGCTTCAACTTGAAAATACACAACAGGGTTGCTGTAAATCAAAGTCTCCTCAATGGGACCACCACCAACGAGGTTCTCTGATCAGACTTCTCTTTTGTTGTTGTTTGTTTTAAGTTGTTTTATTTTGGCATAGTTTGTTGTACAAGAGCAAACAACTTTAAAACTTTTATTATTGATTTCTTTTCTGCAGAGTTTCTGAGTTGATTCCCATAGGCCTGTGTATTTATCATTTATAACACATTCACCTTAAATATTGTTTTAAAACACACAAGTTATAATATTTGTGAGCCAGAACTGTAGGTCAGATTCAAGTAGATTTCCTCCACTTTGAGTCTTTCCAAATTTACTATCTAGGCATTGCCTGGAAATGAAATTGTTTGAAGGCTTGTGCTAGGTTGTTCAAAGTAACAAGAGGCAAAATCTTGCAAGATTAATACCTAAAACTAACCATAAAACTTTACTCAGGAGGGTAAACTGACCTTCTATATTTTCTCAAGAGATTATTGCCAAAATAATTCAAAATAATTCTTACTATTGTCAGTCTTTGAAAGGAGAGTGTCAGTTCCTCTGAGCTGCTAATAAAATAAGTTGAGAAGTCCAATCCAAAATTTTTTAATAGAGCATTTGTAAAGATGCATATTTCTCATATAAACATAATTTAATATTTCATGCAGGGGTATGACTTTTTGCAACATATAAGAGCACACATTAAAAAATGACCAGACTTGGGATATTCGAGGCTTGGACAGCAGAAATATGACCTCAGAGATGCTGTTAGTGGAGAATACCACAGAGCAAGCATAAAGAGCCCCAAACCGGGCACCCAGGGTTGTTAGAGGTCAATGAATTTGCCCATGTTCACTCACTTAAGTGGAGAAGTGCAGTTCAAGCGGCAACCTTCGCATCTCCATGCCCTTGCCCTCTTCTATTAATAGCACTTATCTCAACATTATGAAATGGTGTTTATGTGTCGGCCCGTCCCTCCCCCAACCGTGTTCTGCAAGGACAAAGACCAAAGTGCACTCATCAACATGGTCCCAGCACTTGATGTGGGGCCTAACCCCAGTATCTGGTTAAGAAATATTTGTTCAAGTCATTACAGCTGGCTTCCTATACCTCACACTTTTCGTCTTGTTTAGGAAATATGCATTTCACATGCTGTGTTGGGCTGCAATAGGACAATGTCGTCCCCCCTGGGGGCCATTTGGCAGTGCCCTTCAAATTTTAAAACACATAGACCTTTGACTTTGCCATTCTTCTTCTGGGAAAGCTACTTTACAGAAATAACTCGTACTTGTGTAAGAGACAAACAAGTATCTGTACAAAGTCAGTTGAAAAACCAGTTGCCATAAAGTAAACTGTGTGGCCCAAAGGGTTTTGGTTTTCAGTGGCTATTTTTTTTGGATGTAGATCACCCTTCCTCTGAGGTACCGCTGGGTGAACTCGAACCTCCAGCCTTTGGTTAGCAGTAAAGATGGTTAACTGTTTGTACCACCAAGGGATTCCTAGAAATGCTCCAGAATGTCTATAAAAGCAAAAAAGTGGGACTGGGGACATGTACCCATAGGTTGCCTGTTACGTAAACCAGGGTCAGCCACAAATTGGAAGATGATACAGTGGTGAGGTAAAATGTGATGGATAAACTAAATGTGATATAATAGACAGTGAAACAGAATTCAGTCACAAAGAGAGAGTCTTGACGTGGACCACAATGTGAATGAACCCTAAAAACATGCTGGGTAAAACAAGTCAGACACAAAAGGACAAAGAGTGTAAGGACCCCCTTAAATAAAATTTTCAGAATAGGCAAAAGCATAGAAATAAAAGTTTATTAGTGAATGCCAGAGGTAGGAGGCAAGAGGAAATAGGTGTTATAGCTGAAAGATTAAGAGTTTTTTTTGAGAGGGATGAAAACCTTGGAAGTGGATAGTGGTTATGGTAGCACACTACGATGAATGTATTTAACTTCAGTAAAAGGTACACTTACAAGAGGTTGAAATGGCCAGCTTTCTGACACATGGATTCTGCCCCCGACAATAAAGGGTTTTAAAAAGGTGAAGGTGGTGGTTACTCAAGAACTGGTATGGAAGGGGGTCCAGGGTACACTGACTGAGAGAAAGCGGAGGTGAAGAAGAGTGTGCAGAGCCTCTCCTCTGTGTGTTTAAGACAATGATGGAAGCACAGTAAAGCCCAGATTTTAAAGAAAGATTCTAGAAGGTTACACATCTGACTTTTAAACATAACTGACAAGGGAGAGAATACAGACACTGAGAAGACCAAGCTGTGAACTGTTAACTGGTGGCAGGATGAGACAGGGGAAGAAGCGTCATTTGAATTTTTTGGTGGGGTTAAAAAACTAGTCAATCAAGTCAGGCTCCAACCAAGAGTAATTCCATGTACAATGGGAATGGATTATTGTGATTCACAGAGTTTTTCCTGATGGATTTTCAGAAGTAGATTGCCAGGCCTTTCTTCCTTAAGTCTAGGAGCTCGGCTGAAACATTTTCAGCATCGCAGCAACAGGCAAGCCTCCACTGAGATACACAGCCTGGAAATTGAGCGTGGGTAGGCAAGTCCTTTTCCTCCTCATGTTCCCTTTATTATTCTTTCTTGGGGATCAAAGCACAAAGTCACAAAGATTCTTGGTTCTTCATGGCTGCTGGTTCTCAGAAGATGGTAAGAAAAGGAATGCTGGCAGTATAAAGAGGTCACCCAAGTCCTTGTCCCTGCTCCGTTTTGTAAGGTAACTCAGTCACCTTACTCCTCTGACCTTATTTTTCATCTGCAGATGAGGCAAAAGTCTCCTTGTTTGTAGAATGGCTTGGTGTGCTTTTTATTATTTTTAAAATTAACTTTTTGTTGTAGGATAATAATAATAACAACACATGCAAAGATTATTCTCATAGACCTTTCAGCTCAACCACAAATCAGTTGCTACCAAGCTGACTCCAAATTCATACGGACTGTATGAGTGTGAGAGTAACACTATATTCCACAGGCATTTCCAGAGCTGAATTTTAAGGAAATTGTCAAGCCTTTCTTCCTAGGTACTCAACACATAAATTTGGTTTATTTGTTAAAACTGAGAAAATTGTCATTGGTAAGATACTATAAGCAAAGCTATAAACTTTATTCAGATGCCAACAATTTCTCTACTTAATATTCCTTTCCCAGTCTCAGATCTGCTCCAGGATTCCACCTGCATTTAGTTGTCAAGTCTCCCTCATCTCCTGTGGTCCCTGACGGCTCCTCAGTCTGTCTTGGGTTTTCAAAACCATGCCACTTCTGAGGAGTCCTGACTAAGTCTTTCCCCAACATGGGCCTGTCTGAAGCTTTCTCGGGGGCAGGCTGGGTTCTGGGTCTCTGGGAAGCTCCCACAGGGTTGAGGTACCCACACGGTAACATCACGACAAGACGCCCACACGCCTTCTCACCGGCGAGGCTGCTCTTCCTCCCTCGATTACGGTGCAGTCTTCAGGGTTCCCCACAGTCAGGTTACAAATTTTCCTTTCCTTTTCCTTTGAAAGTGAGTCATTAAATCTAGCACACACTTAATGAGGAGGAATTAACATCCAGATCCCGAAGGACACTTACTTGGAATTCTCCTTAAGGAAGATGTGTGCCTTCTCTTCCATCTGTTTATTGCACAGTACATGGCTTAAAAAAAACCCCAAAACACCCAACATTATTTTTTGGGGGGCCTTACAAAGCAATAATCTTTATTTGTTTTATTGCTCACAATCTTCCAGCTTTGGCCACCAGGACATCTCTGAGGCTGGCTCCAGTGTCCTGCTGACACGCAGCCATACCTTCTCCTTCCCTGTTTTTGGAGCACTTCCTTGCTTTCTGGTACAAGATGTTCCAGCCTCATCTTATGTTGTTTCTGTCCGGATCTCAGAATCAGCCATTTCTCTAAGGGGACCTGACTCCCTTTATTAACAACTGGTGTTTAGAACTCCAAATCTGGGTGGGGTTACTGTATTTTTCTAATGGCTAAACATAAACTTATGTAAAATGGTTCAGAATGTTGAAGGGGAAAATGTAAACCTCCTTATGTATTAATTTCTTAGGGCTACCAGAACAAAGGAACACAAAGTAGGTGGCTTCCAACAACAGGACTTTACTGTCACACTTCTAGGGGCTGGAAGTATGGCATAGTGTTGGCTGGGCGTGCTCTCTCTGAAGGCTCTAGGGAACGTACTACCCCCTGCTCACAGCTTCTGATGAACTCTGGCCATCCTTGGCTTCCCTTGGCTTGTGACTGCCTCACTCCAATCTCTCTGGCTTCAACACAGCTCCTCTTTTTTTATGTCTGTTCCCCTCTTATAAGATCACCAGTCATATGGATTTAGGACCTACCTTATTTCAGTCTGACTTCATGATAATAGATAAAATCTCAAAAGATCTTATTTCTAAATAAGGGTCACATTCACCAAAGTTAGGAATTCAATTTCTCTTCCAGCCCTAGTCCTAGTGTCCATTCTTTTTTTTTTTTTTTCCTAGTGTCCATTCTGAGTCACTGTTGGCCATTTCTTGTATAACCTTCTAGAAACATCCAGAGCCTACACTTGGCATGCTGTACTATGCTGGTTATAGTGAAGCCAGAGATTGTTGTTATGTGGTGTCTCAAGTTGCCTGCGACCCATACAGCAGCCCTGAACCCTTTCCTGTGCTGAGCCAGTCTCACTAATTCCGACATACCAACCCCAACTGCCCGAGTCACTGTATTAATCCATCTCATCTCTGGTCTTCCTCTCCTGTGCTGTCCCTACACCCTTCCTTCCGAGCACGATGTCCTTCTCTAATGACTGGTCTCTCCTAGCCATTAGCCGAAAGCATGTGAGACGGAGCTTTAAAATCCTAGCTTCCAAGGAGAGACTTGTTTTCAGGGCCTGGGAGCTCTTCCTAGAGGGAGTAGGTATGGGGTGTGGGAAAGGGTGGGCGCTGCAGAGAGAAATGTGACTACTCACTAATGGCCCCAGTGTACGTTGGCTGTGTGAGGTCCTTGGGCACCTTCCTGTAGATGTCAAACCTGTAGGGGGAAAGGAACAGGGGTGAGGTGAGCATTGAGGACGGGCTCGAGGCAGAGGGAACATGTGCTGCCTGGCATGCCGTGTAAGCCTGTAAGCCACGATTCCACGCACATCCAGCTCCTTTCACTCTTCCACGCGCCCGCCTCCACCAAGCCTTATAGGACTTGACCCATAATATTTACTGACAACATTCCACTGTCATTATCATACTTATTAATCCTACCTCCAAGGACATGGTCCACCCATAGGTTGGCACTCTTTTTTTTGGCCTCTCCCTATCAGAATGTAAGCAAGGGAACTCTGGCAGCTTAGTGGTAAGGAGTTGTCCTGCCAACTCAAAGGAACACAGTTCAAATCTCCACCAGCTGCTCCATGAGAGAAAGATGGGCAATCTTCTCCTGTGCAATTTACTGCTTCTGAAAACCCACTGGCGGGTCAGCCGTGAAACGTTTCTGGCTCGATGACACAAAACAACAGCAATGTGGGCAGAGACCTCCCAGGTTTCGTGGCCTAGCATGGCACTGGCACACAGTAGGTCCTTGTGGAATGAACTAAACTCTTGAGCCCTGTACTCTGGTGCTAAAGGAAACGGCACACTCCAGCTTTCTGGGGTTATATAACTAAACTGCATTCTTGCCTGGCGTCACTCTTCCACCCCCTCTTCCCCTTCCTGCCACCACCCCCTTTCCCTGCCTCCTCCCCCTTCCCTTCTCCATCCTGCTGGTTTCTTGGAGGTTTTCCTGAACTCTACTGTTACTAAGGTTTGATGTTAACATAAAATCCTGCTTGAAGCCTACAGTCTCCAGATCAGCTCATGCCAGCTCCGGCCTCACCTAATGGTGGCTTCTTCCCTGGGAGCATACCAGCACTTTCTTTTCTTTCACAAAGACAACACGTGCCCCCCCCCCCCCAGCAGAGTGGCTTGTGGAGTGTTGTAGAAAAAAATCTGAGGTTTACAAGTAGCTCGACTTGGGTTTAATTCTGCTTACAGGATTTAGAATGAGACTGCCCTGGGTTCAAATCTCAGCTTAGCCTTTTCCTTGCTGCATGATTTTGTGCTGACATTTCACCTTGCTGAGCATTAATTTTCTTATCTGTAAAAATGAAGCAGCTATTACTACCAGAAGGGGCACTGGCGATGCAAGTACTTGGCTGCTAATGTGAGAGCTGGCAGTCTGAACCTACCCAGTGGTCCTTTGGTGATTTGCTCCTGTAAAAATTAAACCACTGCTAAAAGTCAATTTAGACACATCGGACCCTGCACTCGGTTTCTAAGGCAGTCAATCTTTATGGGAGGAGACCCCACTTCCCCCCAGCAAAGCAGCACGTAGATTATACTCCTGACCCTTCAGTTAGCAGCCCAATATGTAAACTATCACACGACTTGGACTTCAATCTCATGAAGACTGCTGCTGAAGTTCTATTGTGTCTGAGTCAAACTTGACAAGTTTGCAACAACTTCTACTAAATGCTTCGAGGCTGCTGGAGGAGTTGTTAGCTGCTGTAAAGTCGGTCAGGTACCCTCTATAGAGCAGGACTGTTGTCATCTATCCAGAGTTTTCATAGGCTGATTTGGGAAGTAGCTCTCTAGCCCCCTGCTGGTTCACCTTAGTCTGGAAACTCCATTGATACCTATTTAGCATCACAGCATCACCCATGCTTCTAATCAATGACAGAATGATGAATGGAAGCTTTATACTGGCTGGGAATCAAACCAAGTCTCCAACAGGAAAGGCAAGAATTCTACCACAGACCCCCCACCAATCTCACTGAGAGGAGTAAGTGGAATAAATGTCTCTAAAGGACTTGACACTGAGGGCACACTGGTGCTCCTGCAGCACGCTGGCTTCCTTCCCTGTCCTTGAACCTGAACAGATGGTTCAAGTACAGTAGAGTCACGAGCAGAACACTATTAAATCCTGCACAGTGATTCCAGGCTACCTGGTAGACCTGCACTTGCTGAAGAGGTGGAAGCTCTGACCTCGGGGGGGTGGGGGGTGGGGGGGGAGGCTGTGCCTGGTTCGCTCTGGTGAGTGGGAACTGCACCCTGCTACATTGTGTGTGACGACTCAGAAAACTTGCACAAGATTCACCATTTGACTCCGTGTGTACCTTAATTACATATGAAATGAGCTCAGTTTCCTAAGTCCTCAGGGAAGAAAAAAAAAATTTTTTAAATTCTGTGGGTTGCCAAGTTCAAAGGCACCACTCTCTCTTTTGGCTGCTGTGTGCTCCACTTCCAGTCACCTGTGTGCCGGCTTCTTATGGCCTCTTTTCACTCCCTTCCTGTGAAGATGATGGAATCTTCAAATTTGAGAGCTACATTACAGGTAAGAGTGTGAATTGTGTCAGAATGCCTGGCTCAAATCTAACCCAACCAATGCTCCCTGGCATGACATATATTTACTCTCTACATGTTTCAGTTTCTCTGTCTATACAATGGGGTAAAAAGAGTAACTAACTCACAGCATGGTGCTAAGGTTAAATGTATGTAGTGTGTATATAAAGCAGAATTATGACACGAACTTAGTAAATGCTATATAAACATCTGCTGTTTATACTTCATACTTCTCATTTGGCCAACATCTATGGAGCACCTACTGTTCAGGTTTTATACTAACGGTGCAATCTCGAAGGGACATAGTTTGAATCTAACAGCTGTCCCACGGAAGAAAGATGGACAATCTCATCCTGTGCGATTAATTGCCTCTGAAAACCTGCCAGAGCGTCAGCTAAGGGTCAGGTCCAACCTGATGGTGCAAAACAACAAAAGTGCAAGCAGAGTACTCGCTGGCGGCAAAGATGATAAAGGTTCGTCTCACATATGTCGGGCCCATGGCTAGGAGAGGTTACTCCTAAGAGAGAGACACCAAGGACATCCTGCTTGGAAAGGTAGAGGGTCGGTGAAGGAGAGGGAGACTCTCAACTGACTGACACGGTGACTGCTGCAACGGGCTCTTGTGTGCCAGGAAGTGTGAGGATGGCTCAAGATAGGACAGGGTTCAGATCTGTTGTTCACAGGGTTGTTATGGGTAGTACTCAATTCGATGGCACTTAACAACAACTATATATTTTCTGGTGCAAATAATAATAAATAACATTTTAA